TATGAAATAGAAATTAATATCATTTGTTGTATTTAATAGTGAATTTCTTATTTTGGATTGTTGAATTAAGACAATGTATAAAAAGTTGCAAAATTATATATTTACTGTTACCTGTTCTTATTAATTTTCATTATTGATTTGATTATTTGAAACTTGAAATGCCTTCATCAACTTTTAATTACATTTGACCACTTTGTTAATAATTATATTAATTTTAATCAACTAAATTTATAAAAGGTAACTTGTCAAATTTTGATTTTCGAATTATTTATTTAGCCGTACATTAACGTGGGTCTATGATGCTATTTTGGATGATTTGGTGTTTCCTGCTGAAATTGTTGGCAAACGCATTCGTGTGAAATTGGATGGTAAACAAATCATGAAAGTACATTTGGACAAGACTCAGCAAACAAACATTGAACATAAGGTAATTTCTAAGGTTATAAATATATATATATACTATATATAATATACATCAAATGTATTCCAATCTTTATAAAATTATCAAGAACCAATTATACACAATTAATATAAAATTATTATCAATTTATTATCTGGTTTGTGCCCTCTACTTAGTATAATTCAATAATACAATGATTTAGATATATTAGTTTTTATAACCGAGAGATGAGTTAACCCAAAAATATGGTTTGTATGTAGAATTTTTATTAGGGCACCTGTACTGTAAGTTTCTGTCATGCTCGGTTTATTGACTAGTGGTATTAATTTATTTTTTAATGCATCATTGATCAGTCACACTGGGTAGTTTCTGAACTGGCAAGTATGAGGAGGGAGGAGACAGTTATGTTGAAAAGTTCTTATATGGAAACTTAGTTGAATGTTACGGATACTGCCTTATTCTTATAGAGTATACATAGTGCCATTTTGGGAGGTGATTTTAGAATCCCTATTTTTATTTTCCAATATTTGCCATTAAATGTATTAAATATACAAAATAATCTAAACTTATTTATTACATAAAATGTATTAGAATATTTAAAGTATTTTTCCATTCATGATTGGCAGTGTTTACATGATAATTAATAATACTATAGTGTCATATTCAGGTGGCTGGAACAGTTTAGGTTTAAATTTTTCAGTTTGATAGTAAATAGAAACAGTCAATTTTTCTATATATAAAAAATTTCCAAGTATCTAGGTGTGAATCTTTTGAAGGTAATTTAGGGGAGAAGCTCCTCCCCTCAGCTCACTTTAATACATAGACTTCTTGCATACAAAAAAATAAAGATAACTAGTTGCACCCATAATAGTATAGATATATTTTTACTATTATTAATCATGTATTTTTTTTTATTACAGGTGGATACTTTCGCTTCAGTGTACAGAAAGCTGACTGGTAGGGAAGTGACTTTCGAATTTCCTGAACCATATTTATAAATCCTTATTTTTATCTAATAAAAACGTGATTTTACGACTTTATATTGTTCTTATTTTAGCTTTTATCCTGATAGCTAAAATTAAAGTATAGATCAGTGAATTAATTTTCAAGATTAAATTGGAATTGGTTACAGTTAAAAAAATAATTTATTTATATCATCAGAATTTAAACATATAATTATAATCTAATAGTAAATCTGAAGAACCTCTTCTGCTTTCTAGTAAATTGTTAGTTTGTTTTGATTACAAATAACAATTAAAATCACTTTTATTTTATATTAGTTTAGAATTTTCAATGCTGAAACAGTAGAGCTAGACACAAACTTAACTAGTTAGTTTAAATTCATATTAACATTGTAACTTAAGTTCAACTTAGTTGAATAAAATGTGTAAAATATTCTAACTCCTTAGAAACCATAAGTATTTTTGTAGTTTTTTTTTTCATTCTAAAAATCCATAAGTTTAAAACTGATGAGTGCCAGATATCAGAGTCTATAGACTAGCGATGATCATAATTTATTAATAATAAATATTGAGTTATTAATTTTATGATAAAACATTAATTTTCGTCATATTATTTTTTATTAATTATTTATGGTAGTTATTCAATAACTCTATTTTTTGTAATACACGTTATTACTTAAACCACGACGCCTATATTAATTTTAATCGAAAATAAATAAGACCATAGATATATACAACAAATAGATGGTCGTCTTCGAATCATTGAGGTTGGCCGCCATTTACAAAGCAGGCAATGCTTACAAAACAATATTATCAGTATTCAGTTATCACAGTATATTAATCAAATAAATATCATATAGTCTATTCAAAAATTCAAAGTATTAAATAATATAATATTGTATTTTATTATGTATATAACGTATGTAACATTACCTTATTGATTTGTAGCAGCTTGAAAAATAAATATGGTTATTATTGCTGGAATTAATTAGGTTCTTATTTGTTTTTACCACCACTGGAAACAAATTTAACTATATAGATAGGTAAGTACACTTTTTGTCAACTAGGTATTTGTTTTGTTACAGAGATCAGCTAGTCTTTCCGCATATATGTATAGACAATAAGCTGAAAGAATATTGTTTATTATGTCTCAAACTGAAAACAAATATTACTTGTAATATTAATATATATATATATATTTATTCATGTAGGTATAAAAAGTTTAGTTTATATTTTTAACAATATACAATATTTGTATAAAGTTACAAGGAAACAATTTTATAAAAAAATTAATTGACATAACAAAACAAAATTAAAAACTTTAAATATAAAGAACAAAATGTTTACTGGTGATAAAATAAAATAGCTTTAGTCAGTGTATGGAGTTTATTTACAGGATTTAGAATATTTGTAGAAAATATTTCTCCAAATGTATATAAACGTACACTCTCTTTTTTTTTTTTGTATCAAAACCATTTTATGTGGATGGCCTAATAAAGATGTGTTCTCACATTTTAAATCACTAAAAACATTATTATTTAACGCTAATAAGTTATTGCAACTGAAAATTATTTTTCCTTCCAAGTTAGAAACATTTAAATCTTTTAAATCATCTGTATAGGTGTACACAAGTACTCAACGGTAGTACAAAGACGGCTATCTAGTTGTTCTATAAATCTATGAATAAAGACATATTTTACGAATATAGTATCTATCATATTGTTTTTATATTTCTTATTTTGTTGTACCTTCTGTATTCTAATGTCTGATGTTCCAATTTTGTTTTTAAGAAATAAAGGTTATTAGTTATTACTACCTACTTAAAAGTTGAGACATTTGATCAAATTGTCAGTTAGGTCACCAATAATTTAAGTTCAATACAGACACTGAGTAATTAATTAATGCAATATGTAACATATTTAGAACAAATAAATTTTAATTTCTATTTTAAGCTATAAAAATAAACTAACTTAGTTACTAATTTCATCAAACATACTTCTCACTAAGTTAGAAATTTGGCAAATACCAAAAACTAACATATATTCTAACTTAGTTTTTTTATTAGAGTAACTTAACTTTAACTGGTTGAAAAAAACCACTAACCTTGCCCAGTTTTGAGAATCGGTTACCTAAAAATGTGAGTGGAGACTGCTGTACATCATATTAATATTATATTTACACCACAGATATAATATACTAAAATGTGTTTAATTCACGAATAACTAATTATTAAGCTTGTATTTCATTTTTATGACTGAAGTTATTAAAATTGAAAATATTATACAATTTCATCTACTTGCAATCATACTTGTGGGAGGAGGGTATTGACTCTCTTGACATTTTATAGTGGTGCCAAAATCTATATACTATAAGCTTTAGAAGTAATAATATAAGGAAAAAAATAGTACGGCAGAATATTAGAGCGACACGAGATTAAATGTACATCCCACCATTTGTCTTTAATTATTAGTGGACTGCGACGATAACAATGAAGTACACTGAAACTCACTACATTGCATCCTAAAATATAAATGTTTTGTAATATTTAAATATCTATAAAATTATGAAATTAAATAAAAAAATTTATAATATTAATATATTATAGCTTGGGTTAAATTTTGAACTTGAAAATATTATGATTTTTTTACAACAAATTAGTAACATTAAATTAGTATACATTTTACTTTTTTTAATACATAAGGAAAATACTGCGAATTTTTACTATAAACCACACTTAATATTAAGCAATAAAACCAAATATTAACTTCAAAACGTGAGTTAGATAAGGAAAAAACAATTTTAAATGCAATACATTCCTAGCTCCACTTAATATCTATAATGTCATTCAAGTGTTCAACCAAGTATTGCTATTTGTTAAATCTGAATTGTATACAAATTGCTCATCATAAACTGTATTAATTGAACAATAATGAATGCTCTAAAATTTAATTCCACATCCACACCATTGTCTTGTGTTAAGCTTAAGACGCATGTACACTGAGCTCTATTTCTCCTTTGAGATTTTTTAAGGTCTGGTTTATTAGATGATAAACAAATTAAATTACTGGTGTTACGGAGACTACTTAGTAACTAATATTAACCAAAGAAATTACTTCAGCACATGACAGTATTATTTTATTAATATAATTATTAATCAAGACCATCAGTTGGTGAATACTTAGAATTTGTATTCTACTTGAAATATAGTTGTCAAACCCAATAGACAAGGATATGGTTTAACATGTATTAGTATAATTTATTATACTAACGAGGTTGTTAGGAAATATTTTGGGAAGGTTCAAGGATTAAGCCCTCTCCTTAATTTACGCCCATTGTTAAAACATTGAATTTTAAAGTCAAGTTTAAATACAATTGTTTAAATGCAGAATTCATCATATTTGGACCCAGGACCAAAAACTGTTTTTAATTTCAAAATGATAAAAAACCAATTTTCAAAACCTGGATTCCATAATTTTAATTATTTTAAAAATTAAGTGCACCAGCACTTATCGTTTATAAAATGTTCTTAATTTACTATAAAAATTATACATACAATAAAAATCATAAATGTAACATATTATTATAGTTCAATAATGTACCTATCTTTTAAAATGTTGATACATTTAGATATATTATATAAGAATAAAATTTACCAACAAACATTTTTTTATCCCTAAAAAAATTACAATATTTAAGTTTTAAAGTTAAAACAAGTCTTATTAGTTAATACAATTGATCTATCTCCATACACAATAACTATAGAATGAATGTAAAATAAAAAAATATTTATAAGTATAATTTGAAACCTTGCCAAATATGATGGTAACAAATTTAAAATATTGTTGAGTTTTATATGTTTCAGACATGATAATGATAGTAAAATCTTAAAACAAAATAAATACTGTTTGTATAATTTTTTTGTCTACATTCATAGTCTGCAAATTCCTAATATTTGATTATTATTTTGTTTTTTATACAAATTTTTTGATTACATGTAAGAGAACACATAACAATTAATATATAACTAATAATAAAAATATTATTTTACAATCACTGCCTACCAATGTTGGATTTATCACAATCAACCAATGGATGAGGTAGAGATATTGGGTTACCATGTACATCAGTGACCGGAGTTGATGATTTTGGTTGCACTTGTTGAGGAATTGAGTTTGATGGTGCATTATTGGTACTCACATTGGGTTTATATTGTCTCTGAGACTCTATTGAGTGAATATCAGTTTTGCGTGCCTTAAAACAACTAAAGGGTACATATCCTTGTTTCCCATCACAGCTATCGACACGTAGCCATCCAGTTTCTCTGGCTAATGCTATATATTCTTGAGATGTCAAATAAGACTTTCCTTTCACCAAAGGAATAGTTTTTGGATCTGTACTGCTCCAGTCATAATGCGCAGTGGCAATAATCACTGTAAAAGGTGAGGAAATGAGTATGAGCATTGATAATAATTAAGCATTGATAAAATTATTTTAGGGTGTTAGAATAATCATGGGCAGCACTTGTCAAAAATATGAATAGTTTTTACGACTTCCCACCTCTATATTTTTTCATTGTAACTTGATTTTAATTAATTGTATATGTACTGCTTGAATGACCGAATCATATATTATTACATTTTAAATATAATCACTAGTTAGAAAGAAATCTATGATTTTATGGTTTTTGAAATTTTGTTGTTTATATAAACTCCTCACTCTAAAAAAAAAAAAACTATACATCTGCAATCCCAGATTATACTTTTGGGGAAGCTACACACACTTCCCAATATGCTGCCTATGAAGGAAGGTAAGTATAAAATATTGATTTTTAGTCATACTCACTGTTTGAAGGTAGACTGTTATTGACAGTAGGGCCAGCTACAGCCGCTACTGGTGTTACTGAATTGAGTAATTTGTATACAAGATACGGTGTACTGACTAGAAGTCCAGTAAAAACTACTAATGGCCAAGATCGTCCATCAGAGGTTATTATTTCTCTATGGTTATCTGCAGATGATAAAGTTGCCCACAAGTCTTCTTCGGTACTCGATCCACTACCTCCTCTTACCATTTCTACATAGAATATTAAGTAAACAATATACGATGTTTATAATTAATAATGTAATGTATGATAATGTACTTACTTAATAGATAAAAAAGTTTAGTTAAAAACCAACGAGCTAATTTGAATGATACAATAGTTGAATACAATTTCATCATAAACATTCTTAGACGACTAAAATTCTCAGCTACACTTAATATTGCTTGAAAAGACATATGCATTGCGGTAAATGTAGACTCTAACATCATACTGATCGAGTTAAATGATTGAACAACAGACTGTATTGAATCAAAAGCAGGACGAGAATTTTCAGATGCTGCATTTACGTACCTGTAAAAACATAAAATTAAACATTAAGTTAGATACACCTAAGCATCAATACCAATAAAATTGATTATCATTAATATATCAATTGTTTAATCGGCTCTATAAAAATAGAATTTATTACTTTGCTTGTCACGTTTTTCTATATAACAGGAAGCAGTGTCATGGTGGTGTAAGGGATTTTATGACTCCCAGGCGTCAATGGTAGAAACTTTTTGTGTAGGTAATAGGTGGTTTGATATCCTAACTGACGAAACTGTTAGAGGCCCATGCAGACATTTAGATTATTCTACCACATTGGAAATAATTATTTCTAAACAGGAGGAAAAGCTATCAGGGCAGCGCCAGGACTTGTACCAACCAGACATGTTTAGTGTAACAGTCTAAGACTCTTCATCCCATACTTATAGGGACAGGCGATAATGGCAGCTATGATGACCTAATTTTATAATATTTTTAACGTAGAATGAATTTTGTATTCAATAAATGATATTAAATTGGGGTTAGTATAATGCCAACAGTACACCCCCATTTGGCGTACCATAAAAAAGACATGATTAATAATAACTAGAATCATGCAACTAGATATTTTTCTACTGTTCCTCTTATTGTTCATTTACACTTCTATGAAAATAAACAAAGCGTAAGAAAATCGGTAAGATAAAAAAAAGTTGTGCCCTAATGGTAAACAATAAAATGGATCAAAAATTATATTTATAGTCACATAATAATGAACTCTATTATATTACATTTTATTAATGAGATTAAGTAGCCAGTAGGTAGCCATTGGCGTGTACTGGAGGGCCTTTGTGTGGGACAATGTCAAGGAGTCTGCCAGATATATGTGAATATCGAGAAAATTATTTTATATTACACAGTAGAACTAACTCCGATTATCCAGACTAATTAATGTCAAGGGTAGCCGGATAAGCAAATATCCGGATGATTGACCTATGATGTATCAAAAGTTATATAATTGTAGGAATATATTGTATGTATGTATTTATTATTTATTATTCATATATATGTAATATAATTTAAAATTTAAATAATTATTTTGAATGTTATATCCTTTCAAAGCGTATAATTTTACATTGATACGCATACGCACAACACTGTACTACCGCTTGCAGTGTCTATATCAAATTTTTTTTTTTACATATTTTAACGAGTCAGGAATGATAATGAAATCACAATTTGCACAATCAGCGAGTTATCTTAATTCTAAAATACATAAAATTGGGATATTAAAAAAAAACAATGCAAACTTTAAAAGGATAAAACTTACAAATAATGATTCCTGCAATTTTTTTTTTTGGACCATTGTTCTTAACTCGTTGAATAAGTAGGTATGTTTCAAAAAAAAAAATTTTAAAAATGCTGGGTAGCAAAAGTGAATTTATACCGAAATAACATAATGTTTGTTTAGCACTACCTATATACTTACGGATTTGTGAATGGAGTGTTTGGTAGTTGTCCAAATGTATTGTAAGGGTTGAATCCACCAATATTCATGTTTGTCATACCTCTATATCCATAATTATTGAACTGTCCATTGTAAGCATTACTAGGAATACCAGGAATACTAGGAATAGAATACTGTGTTGGGATGCTGTTTGTAGCTCTTCTATGGACTCTCGGCACACCCGAGTTGAGAGGATGATTAGGACTTGTTATTGGAGGATGAGTTGAGGTTGTGGTCATCGGTGGAGCAACTCTAGCCGGTACTGCAGCACCTGTCTGGATATTTTGTAACAATTGAGTAGACCTTTGTATAATATTGTTGCTAAAAATAAACAAAAACGTCAATAACTTAAGTGCATCGACAACAATAATAAAATATTTAGCTAAAAGGCGCTTACAGTTCAAATTCATGGTCGTTCATGATTATCAGATAATTTTCTCAGCAGTATAACAATCCAAAGAACACGCGGAAGCGATTAATTTCAACGAGACTACTAAGAAAATAATACAAGCATATAATCCAGTCGACTACTAAATGGAAAGCAGTTTCTATGAGAATAAAATGGGTTTAAAATAAACGTTCTAATGGGAGTTAGACCAATATAGTAAGTTGGCGTAAAAATATAAATACTATAAAGTCATAACTCATAACTATATTCTATAATAATACGTATATTTTGGTGGAAAGAAGTCGGACACTGACTGGGCAGTGGACAGTAACACGGTAAAAAATGATAAGAAATTGAGAATACTGTATAGTGATAGCATGACGATCGGTGAGTGGTGCTGCTTCTGCATTATCATAAGTCATGACAATTATTATTTGTACTCAAACCGTCGTTACCGAAATGTTTTCAACCTAGTCACCACCGACGAAGGCGCTATATATAAGTATATAACGCACCTCAAAACTACAAGACTGCCACAAGACTACTTTCGAAAATTAAAATAGTGAGAAAATAAGAAGTTTATAAAATGCAAGAACGCCACATTCTATATCATTTTTAATTTAAACACTAAAAGTATGTGTGAGTATTGAATAATTTAGTTTTAAGCAAATTTGCAAAGCTTGAGAGCAATAATATTTACTTTATGACAGTATACTTATTTTAATTTATCCAATTAATCTCCGAAATCAAAATTCAAGACTCTTATTTCGATTTGTGGTGTTCTTGAACAAAAAAAACTAATTGTAGTGGGATATGTTGACTGCAAAACAGCAATATTTAGAGTTGTATAACATGAATTTTAAAATTTGTGATATTGCAGCTACAATATGAAATTTAATACTACCATATTTTAGCCAATGCACAGGGTAGCAATAACATTTAAAACAACTCAGGAGAGTTTCCACATTTACTTCGGGTAAAAATAAAGTTGACCCTTGAGAGTGTACTAGTTTTAAAAATCGGGAGAATTTACCACCACCCAAAATTTAAAGGTAAGATTATTATTTAGGGCTACACGTAAGCTTTTATTAATATTGTTATTTTTAAGTAAGTCATGGACCTTTTTGAAACTACCTACATTTTAAAATGATCATAACTCATTAGGTGCACTCAAAGCAGAACAAACTTCACCATAGGCGCACATAGGGGGGTGCTTGGGGGTGCTTACCACCCCCAGGTTTAAAATTAGCACCCCAAGTTTATTGTAAAATTTATTTCAGTAATCCACCAATAATTTGTAAATTATTATGGTTTATTGAGTTGGACATTTTTTTTCCATTATAATTATTATTATCTATTTAAATAGACAATATTATTATAGTTCACGAATTCACAGTATTGTATGATTGCCCGTATTTTTCGTCTAAACATTAAACAATAAACAGCAATCATAATATTATAGGAAATTATATTAACATTTATCTAATCTTACTTTATATAGAAATAACGAAATGTTGGTCTTAAAGAATAGTGTACCAGCCAACTTTGTATTTGAAGACTTAAAAAATCAATGTCATAAAAGTTCGTTTCCAAATGTCTATTAACTAGTTCAAGTGAAAATGACAATTCCAATTTCTTCTTCAACGTGTGAACGCTCCTTCTCGGCTATGCGTAGATTGAAAAACTGGTTACGCACTAGTATGGGCCAAGAAAGATTTACTAAGCTATCTACGCTTAGCATTGAGAGAGATCTTACCAATAAAATAGATGGGGAAATTATATTGCAAAAATTTGCGTTATCAAACAGGAAATTAAATCTTGTTATTATTGTATCAGGGGGGTGTGGGGGGCAAAGCCCACACGGGTCTGTGTACCATAAATTATTCCAGCACCCCCTAAATTCACACCCTATATGCGCCTATGAACTTCACTGGTTTTTAGCACATCAAGTTCCGAGTGCAATTCATGTTTCTTAATCTGTTTCAGTCTAATTCCTGTGATCATACGTCAGTAAAGTTTTCTACCGATTCATTATTTCGTAATATATTTCGTTATTTTAAAACGTAATGTTTCTTTCTACTTTCGAAGATTAAAATATGAAGTCTGCGTTTACCTATACAATATAAGTACGCAATTTCCTATTATAATCGACCTTTTTATTGTTGATTTATTGAGCCAAGTTTACACTTGCCAATGAGCTATGGCTACAACATTTTTATTTTTATTTTTTAATTATGAAATGGTTTTAAATATTTAATTATAGAAGGTATTTAAAAAAAAATTATTATATACATAAATACCTGTTATATAGTATACCTACCTATATACAATATACATGTATATTTTATTGCGTATTGGTATAATCATAATAATTATTAGTATTTATGATCAATGATATAACATATTATATTGTTACTTATAAGACACCTGTATATTAATACATTTTAAAAATTGTCACCTAAATTAAAACCCTGTATAAGCCACAGATGTATACAGTACTTACCATTTAATAAGTAATCCTTGCCAAAAATAATTAAAAATATATTTTTTTTATTATTCATTTATTTATTCTTCAAGAAGATAATGATATTATACAGATCTTCTTACCTCTGAAATATCCATAGGAAATCGTGGTAAAGTCACTAATTTAGGTACCTAGATGTTCTACGCCTAGCTTTGTATTCTACAGGTGGCCGGCGGGCGTCGGTGGGGCGCAAGAAGTGACCACCGCCTACGACCTGATAACTGCGTATATAATTAACTTAAATCGATCGTGTACTTGTTTTAAGAGGACACTGCCTATGCATTTTTTGTCTCCATCGTACACCCGTACGACATAGAACATTTTCGTTCACTATATAGTTTCAATTAGAAATTTAGAGAACCATAATAATAAGGCTCTCTAGTTTCAATAGTGTGCTGTTAGTTTTGATATTAGAGTGAATTGATCTATTATCAAAGTTTTAGGTAAGAACATTATCTATGCCTAAGCATCAGTGGATTTTTGGATATTTTAATTTTCAATCGAGATATGAGCATTTTTGATTTGTGTTATTTCACTTGCTCGTATCTTGAAAATGAAAATATCGAAAATCCGCCGACACTTAAGTATAGATAATATTCTTATCTAAAAGTTTGATATTACTCAAATTCACTCTAATATTATCAAAACTAACGGCACACTATTCAAACTAGTAAACGAAAATTTGCTATGTCGGAAGTTGGTAAGACGAAGACAACAAACGTTTGGGTCTTAACTGTTCATTATTTTATTTACACGTAAAGTTTATTGTAAATGACTTTTGACCAGGGGTGGGCTGAGATAACTATTCGGCTCAGTAAGTCTATATTTTGACCGGCCCTTGCATTCCGTCATCACAAATTATAAATATAGGTATCAAAGTTTTAATAAATGAAGGTTGCATCCTCTACCTAACTTCAATTTTCTCAGGAAATAACTTAAGATTCAATAATGCGTGTTGAATAATTTATCTTAAGAACAGAGTATAATGTATAATGTCTTACTTATTTTCTATTAAGTACTCTATAACTGAGTCACAATGGATGAAAAACATAGGTAGATATATAAACTGCTCAAACTTGATTTTTCTAAAAGTTACCCTTTTCCCTCTGATTTTCTCGTCAATACCGTTTCTTTTCGATTCCACTTTAAACAACTAATAGCGAGATAAATATTACAAAATCACCACACAACACACGATAATAAAATAAAAACAAACAAAAAGTTTACTTTTATGAATTAAGAACGTTCATTGAATAAGCACCAAACTATAGGCACCTATATATAGTTATCATCTTATTAACCTATAAATAGTGTTATTTGTATTATTGTGTACAATATATTAGGTAATATTAAGTAAATACTTGCTGGCTATATTTTATATGTGGAAATAGTAATCGATTGGTATAATTTGATTTAATACTAGTGCATATTACAAAGCTTAATAAAATTCCCAGATAAATTAAAAGCCAATTTAAATTAATATAAAATACAATTTATATAGGTAGGTATTTTCGTTGTATTTTGTGTTTCATTAAAGCACTGGACAGACAATTAGATGTTATTTAATATTTTAAAATAAAAACCTTCGACAGTTATTGGCAAGTGTTGTTTTGTATACTGAAGTCATAATAGTCATATAGGCATAGGAGCGTACATAATACGTTGTAAAAATAGAAAAATTAGTAAAAGAATTATAACTAATTATACTTATTAATTTATTTTTTTGGAAGTTTTCATCAAATTGTATTTATTCTTATACAATTTGCAAAAAGTGACTTAAAATCCAAACAATACATATTTCCTAACAACGTCAAAAAATGTTCTAAAAAAGGACTAAATAAAAACTTTATTTTTCAGTTCAATGATGTATGAAACAAATTTTTTGCTTGAAAAGCAATGTTTTAGAAAATTAAGAAGTTAAATTTGTATTTTAATCCACTTCCCAGCTATAAGTAATATTTTCTTATGATGCATTAATGCCGAGGGGGTAACGATCAACAGAATCGAAATCTAAAATTGTAAACACCTGTTATAAGTAATGTTTCACACTCACTCTTTGTGATACGAAAATACAAAATATTTACAATTTATTTGTATACCGATTTTATTATAAATATATATCAATAAATCATTAAATAAAAATAAGTTCCCGATATTCCACCGGCCCAGTCCACCCCTGCTATTGACGATAATATATGAAAATTATGAAGCATGATTTACTACCAGAGTGTCCTATGTAGTTCTATGTAGAAGTTTGTGATTTGAAGAATTTTTTAAGTTTATATTATAACTGATAAACTTCGGTATAGATGGTGTCGCCTTACTCAGCCGTTGGTGGTTTGTTTTTAGAAGGTATAATAATTTAGTCATGTGATTGTCAAGCTGTAATAGCTTATATGTTGATAGCAAAAAAAAAAATAGTCATATATAAATTGATGAATGGTGAATACAATATTTTCATAATTTATTAATTATTAATATCATAGTATTATAGTGAATTAAATTTAAAATTAAAATAAAGGATTTAATAAGGATATGATTTTTGAGTACTAATAATTTATAATAGGTAGTACCTACTGTAGTAGTGTAGTAGCGCTAATATCACGATTGCGTATTATCATTAGGTAATTTAAATAAAATTCGTAAAATGTAATACGATTCTTGGGGAAATCCAAATCATAGAGTCCTAGATACAGTGCTGAGTGCTGACTAGAAATATATACATATGTATTATGTCGATATGTTGTTAGATTAA